TTTTTTATTTAAAATTATGTAAATATGTTTGATCTGTTTTTAACTTCTATTTTTTACAAGTATATTCCCATCCCCCGTTTTCTGGATCTGCTGTAATGCACAAATTTCCCCCACGGGGATTAAAAAAGTTTATCTTTATCTTCGGCAAACAGCAAAGCAGGCTGCCTCGTGGTCTCTCCGTTTACTGCTATAAAATACGCCTGTTTGCTCACAGAACCAAGTGGAGAATAAACAAGCAAACTCCCTTATTGCACGGTAAGGATGCTGATATATGAAGCGATTTCATTGGACCAGAAACTCCCTGTAAAGATGATCTAACATGACTTAAAAGTCTTTCTTCTTGAGTCGTGTTTTTTGCTAAATTTAAGCACATCTTAAGACTAAAGGCTTGCATGATTATTATTTCTACATTCATATATTGTGAACTATCTGATGTTATTATTCCACAGTAACAAACAAAGATATTACGTCGTCTGCTTTTTGATCTACCTGCTTCTCGGGCAGGTTGTTGTTTTCTGTTAAGCTTCCCTTGCTGGAGGACAGCTCGTTGCTGAGGGGCTGCGAGTCCTGAAATGTCAACATGCGGAAAAACAAACTTGACAAAAAAAAAACCAAAAAAAAAACCGGCACAACAGAAACTGTGGAAACGAGAATGAACCACTTTGTTGTCATCGGTATTAAAAAACCTGCCCTGGTACCTTTGGCTGTGAGGATTTGAACGGGTTGACCTTTTGCATCACTCCTGCGAACATCCCTGGATTCTAAAGATGAAAAACAATCGGACAATGACTCTACAGAACGGACTGCAAAAAAAATGCAAGTTAGTAAGATTTCTTTGTAGGTTCTGAATCATCCACGTCACCTCTCTATAGAAACGCTTTGATTAAATCGTCTTCGGTAGCTTAAACTAAGTCCAGTTCCCTTCGGATCAAGCTTCCATTTGAAATTTAGTCCAATTTTTTCCATCCATGGATGATGTACAGACTACAGCAGACTGAATTTACCTCTTTGACTTCAGTTTCTTTCTCAATCTCTGGTGGATCTGCGGCTTCATTTTGAACGTCGCTCTTTGGCACCTGCTGCAAAGAAAAAAAAAAAAATAGGAATAAAATGAAAAAAAGAGCTCAAAATGATATTAAATCCAAGTTAGTCTGAGTTTTTTTTTTTTTTTAATGTGAAATATTCAGAGAAGATACCTGTGTGAAGGGCTTGAACGGGTTGACTTTCTGCATCATGTCTTTAAACATATTTGGATTCTGAAACACATGAAGATCATTCTGTGCTTAATCAAGTAACATCCACGATGAGCATGTACAGACTTTTTTTTTAATACTGATCTACCTCTTTCTCTGACGAGGTATTGTCTGCTAAGCTTCCACTGCTGGAGGAGAGTTCATTGTTGAGAACCTGGGAGTCCTGACAAAGTCGACATGCGAGATGAGATGAATACATAAATTGAGAATTGCTCGCCTTCAAAATGGGTGTAATCGGTATCATGTTCTGGTACCTTTGGATGGGAGGATTTGAACGGGTTGACTTTGTGCATCATTCCTGCGAACATCCCAGGATTCTAAATAGAAGACACATTCATTGGACAATCAGAGTCGGACACTTTGTTATAATAATACAAATTGTGAGTCAGTGAGCAGACTCGGTTTACCTCTTTAGCTTCATTTTGAGCATCGCTCTTTGGCACCTGCTGCTGAGAGAACAAAGACGGTGGTTAAAAAAAGAGTTTTAGGATTTTCTTTTATTGGTATGTACAGAGAAGATACCCGAGTCAAGGGCTTGTACGGGTTGACTTTCTGCATGTCTTTGAACACCCCGGGGTTCTGAAACACAAGCTCCAACTTAACTCTGCTTATCAAGCAAGAGTCATTACAATAGAGAGTGAGAATTAATGTCCTCTGATCGAGAGCTGCCCATGAAGAAAACAAGAAATACACATTCTTATTTTCCTGTTCTATTCTTCTTTTCCTCCCTCTTTCTATGATGACCACGTTAACACCAAAATGTTCTTCTTTCCATTAATGTTGACATATAATATATATATATATATACACATACATACATATACACACACACACAGTATATGTTTTTTCTTTTCCTCTAAATTATCTTCAGTTTTGTTTATTTTTCTTGCTACTTCCCACTCACTTTAATGCATCACACACTTTTCTTATACACGACCTCAACTTACTACTTGACTTTTGTTAGAGCTACTTTAGTTATATTTGTCTTTGCCTGTCTTTGTTTATTTGCCGTTGCTTTAATTGTCATGTCTATGTGCACATTTTTGTTTTGTACTTTTTGTTCGCCTTATCATAATAAAAAATAAAAAAAGAAACAAAACGGAAGAAAGTTCAAATAAAAATGGATTAAAAAAAACCAAACAGATAAATTGGGTTTCTTAATGACGTTCTTTCCCCCACCTGTTTGGAGTCCGAGTCTCGTCCCTGTTCCAGTGACTCTGATGATGAAGCTTTAGGGACCTGCGTTAAAACATTTAAAATGAGTTGACGGCTCATTGTCCAGCACAAATCCTTCATTCTCACAGTTGCTGCAACAGCTAGCAGACAATCATCTTTTTCTCTACATGTACAAGACTCCCTGTTGTCTTTAAATCGTGACCCAAATTTCTGATATTTTTTTCAACCAATTAGATTTATTTAATTTGAAAAGAAGTGGAAGTTTGGACCACGATGGGACAAAACATGATAGAAAAAAAAAAAGAAGCTCTCCATGAACTTTTGTGCCCTCACATTTTTTCTGGCACCACATTCAGGACCTACTGAGAGTCGGAATCGCGACCCACTTTTTGGTCCCGACCCCACCAGTCGAGTACCAAACGGTCTAAAGTGTAACAATTAATTGTAATGAAATGTTGTAATGTTTTACCTGTGACGTGTACTTGAATGGGTTGACCCTTTTCATAACTCCCATCACGCCAGTCCTCTATGTTTATACAAAACATACAGATTAAAGAAACCCAAACATACTCAGCAGTGGTTGTTGAGATATTACAAATGTGGGACTCTTTCTTACCTTCGTTTTGGGGTTTATCTCACTTGTGACCTCACTGGTATTTTCCTATTAAGAGAGAATAACAGTCAGAATGAGGGGAGACACCTGTTGTCCATGTAGGGGTTTGAACAATCAGCCAATCACCTGTGAGGCTTCGGTCACTTCAGCATCATGTCGGCCCATCCTGTGAGTGGTGGGTCTGTCTACTTCCTGGTGATGATGAAAAAACCAGCAATTAATCAAACAAACACACAAAGACAAACACAATACTGCCTCTTCTCTTGAGTTCTTCATACCTCCTTGCTGGGTTTTTGATGTGGAGTTGTTGAGGAAGCGCCTTTGTCTCTTTTGAACATATTCATGCTGAAATACAAAAAAGTTTTCAATGCAAACAGAATACAGAGCTCTACATAAACTCAGTCACGTCGGACAAGGTCATTTGAGAGCCCGACAAACCAAACCCCGGTCATATTTTTGAGTATTTTAGATGCAATGTTTATCGGATTTAAATGTCGTTGAAAGTTGAGTAAGATGCTTAGTGGAAAATACCATTTCAGTGAAGAAAAACAACAACAACAACAACAACAACCTCTAACTCAAAGAACCGGTTGTTTCCACTGTATGTACACTACCTCAGCTGATCGCTTACGTCAGTCTCAGCCCGAGCAATGAAAGCACAGCAAAAGTTATAATGTGTCAGTCCGGTTGAAGTTTTGTCAAAAAAGATCTTGCCGAATTACAAGAAAGTGTCAAACTAATCGGGGCTGTGTGAGGAATTCGTGTTCATCGACGTGTATCGAGCAAAAAACGCAACAAACCTTTAAATCGTAGAACTGCGAACCGGGTTCGGCTTGAACGTCACATACGCGTCAGAAACAGCACCGCGCTTTGTATGAGCGACTATGGAGGAATGTTTGACAACACAAAACGACACAATGAAACAAGCAGGGCGCCTACCTCAGTGTTGCGACAGGAAAAATAATAATAAAGAAAAACGCTGGGTTGCTAAAACACAACAGAAGAGTTAACTAGTTTTAAAAAAAGTTGATCTCCAAAGTCTCTCACTTCCCCTTCATCACGTAGAGACGTCACGACACAAAGTGAGGCGGACCTCAAAGGTGTTTGATTACCGATGATACTGTCACTCCTGCCGGCTCTGATTTCAGGTGAACATTTAGTTTTAAAAAGTGAACAATGGATAAGTACAGAGTATCTCCGACAAGTAACTTCACTCCAGCGTCGAGTTTTAGTTAACAGAGTCCCATGCCTTCATTTGAGACACCTGTGTTTCCTGAACTGGGGCGTGGCCTCACTCCTCCCGGATTTATGGATCTTTAGTCAGGACATGTCTGACTGCCTCAAATAAAATCAGTATAATTAATTCTGGTTTATAATATACGACGGAAGATTAGGGCCACGTTAATTTTTCGTGATTAATGTCATAAATTTACAAGATTAAAATTGTAAATTTACGCGAATAGAGTCGTAAATTTACGAGATTAAAATTGTAAATTTACGATAATAAAGTCATAAATTACGAGATTAAAGGTGTAAATTTACAAGATTAAAGTTGTAAATTTACGCGAATAGAGTCGTAAATTTACGAGAATAAAGTCGTAAATTTACGAGATTAAAGTCGTAAATTTATGAGTTTAATCTCGAAATAAAATAAAAAAAAGGCTTCTGTTTTGTCTAAACCTTTAATTAATTTCTTCAAGAATTGTCTATAGATTAACTTTTTAATAATAGCAATATAAAAATAACGTGTACTACAAGCAAGTGAATACATTATTTGGAATTATTATTGAAAACTTTTTAAACTTTAGTCAAACCTCAGCTAAATTAAGCTTTATGTAGTTTGGATGGACAAACTGAAATGACCAAAAAAATTCAGATTGAAGGTTTTCAGTTTTAGTAAAGCGTTTTTTGTTTCAAAGTTCCTTCAGAATAACTCTTCAGTCATCTTTTTGCTCAGTTCATTTAAAATAAAGTTTTTATTCACAGATACATTTTAAATCACGATATCTGAATATACTTAAAGAGAACATTTCATTTTTAACATTCTTTTCAGGTTAGTATAATGCAGAAAGATACACTGATTGTGTGGATCATTGACAAGACAAAAAAAAAAAGAGGTCCTGTGATTGACAGGTGACCAGTCCAGGGTGACAGCCCCGATTGGCTACAGCCCCCCCAAGATCCCCAAACTGGATAAGCCACTTCGATAATGGATGAATGGATGATATATAGAAGAACAACTTTTCCCTAAACATTTCTCAATTATGACATGTAATAATAGCAGTCTATTTACAACATCTGAAGACATTAATAATTAAGTTTGAGTGTGATAACAGAATATTACAGGGACACACACAGGTTCAAACCATGAAGCTATAGGCACACCTTAACACCTTCTGCACATTTACATGGATGACACAAGGTAAAAACCAGAAGTGTATCAAGTTTTTATTTAAACATTATATTGTACTCGTCTAATAATGAAGCTGCACTACCTTTAAAAAAGTGAACAAAGTGTTTTCTCAGAGGCCTTTTAGGTACCGGTGACGTGTGGCTTAAAGCACTTAAATACAACAAAAAGATACACAAATAAAATAGTTGTGATAGAAGAAGGTTGTGTAGCTGACCCACCAGCCAACCAGTACCCCCAATTCAGCAAGAGAACATGTGCCATTAAATGGAGGTGTCTGGAAATCTTGTTTTGAGCAAAGTTTTAGTTTGTCAATATTGAACACAGGATAAACGTCTAAAGGACATGAAGGTTACTTTTCACAAGCTGAGTCCTGCATGTGGCTAAACTCAATATTGCAACTTCAACACCTTTACACTCCCTATGCCACTTTGTTGTCTGCAGTTTCCTCTTTTTATATTCTCATTAACATTTGAAATATAAAACATACACTGATTACACTCTCCTCAAATATAGAGATCAAATTAAATATACTTTAAGTTAAGATTGAATAGCTGTTCAAAAATAGTTATTTTCTGAGTTTACTTCTTTGTCAACTCGGTGTTATAGAGCTTAAATACACTGTAGTGGACGGTGATGGTGCTTACACACAGTTCAAATGTCTAAACCGAACCGTCTCTCGACACAGAGCAACATTTAGATTCACCTTATGTTGAACCTCTTCACTCATACAATAGTGTCTAAAGTGCTCAATTAGAGGTGTCACTGTCCCTGGTATTTGGACCAACCTGTGTGTGTTTCGTAAACATCTTACAACAAAGTGCAAATCTTAAGTCACCAGAGATGAATTATTTGGTTGTGATTTTAGTTTTTGCAATTTACTGATTTTTAAATAAATAAAATGTCTAATCACACCTTGAGTCTGTTTTAGCAGACTGATTTTAGGAAAGTTTTTAACAGCAGGCAACAAACATTTCCCTTCTTTAGCCAGTAGAGGGGGCTAACGGTCTTTGTAAGTCAAAGTGGAGTCACAATGTGGCTCACACGTACCCAGTAGCCTCCTGTAGCTCCTCTCTGATTGCGTTGAGCTCCACTATTCCATCATTGAGCATGGCCGCCACCTCCTTTATCTGAGACACCACCTCTTTCTTGCATCCTTTCTTCAGCTCTCTTGAGTCCTTGACAAAGTACTTGTCCATGCCCACAAAGAGTCCTTGAACCGCGGCCAGTGCCTCATCCGTGACCTCGGTCGCTCGCAAGATGGGCGCGTCCACTAAGCTGATCATCTGAACCGCCTGGCGGACCTCCCAGTCCTTGGAGTAGTGCTGGGTGCCCGACCTGAGGAAAGGATGACCGCGCAGTTTGTACAAGCCCTGGTTCACAAAGTGGACGATCTTCCCGATGTCCAGCAGGTGAGCCTCGTACTCCTCCAGTACCATCTCCACCTTGGGGAGTTGAAGGGACACAACAGAATCTTTGATAAGCATGTCAGGAAGTCAACCCTGGTTAATTGTGTCAATGTCAGCCATTTTGAACTTTTTGTGTGTCAACACTTAACCCTCAGGCATCAGTTTAATTTACAACCCTCTTAAATCACTAAGGACAAAAAATGTCCACTTCCATAAAACTGCTATAGAAATAGAACAGATTGATATTTTTTTCTACTTTTTTCCACATACATCTCTTAAACAACTTCCGCCCTGCTCAAAACTACCAAACATTCAATCACTATCAGGAATTTAACCCTTTAAATGCCAGTTTGATTACTTGATGTCACTGTTGTTATTTATGAAAAAAAACACAAAAATTAGTTATTTTCCATATAAAAAATATTTGATACTAGGGGATTTTTTTTAAATCAATCTTGGATATGTCAAAGATTATCTAAAATACTGACTTTGATGCATTGATAGTTTTTGTGTAGCATCAGATTTAAAATGTAGTTCCCTGTTTGGACACTGGAGGGCGAAATTGTCTATCAAATATTGAATAAGTATCAGGAATTTAACCCTTTAAATGCCAGAATCATGTAATCAAACTGGCATTTAAAGGGTTAAATTCCTGATAACTATTCAATATTTGATAGTTTGATTAGTTTTGAGCAGGGCTGAGATGTTTAAGAGATTTATGCAAAAAGAAGTACAAAAAAAATTCAATCTGTTCTATTTTTATAGCAAAAATGTTTCTCAGTGTTCTATTGATCTATTAAAAAAATAATAACTTGCATCCCAAAATGTGTCAAGACAGAGACTTTCTTACAAAAATGTGTGCCATATGCACTAACACAGACAAAATGATGGCCAGATGAAGAGGAAACATTTGCCCAAATGGACAAAAATGTCCATAATGATGCATGAGGGTTAAAGTGTTAGAATAACCACCATAACAATTCTGATTGTTCTTACAATATTGCCAATAATCCATCAACGAGTTCTGAATACATTTGACTAATCTTGGGCTTAATAGTTTAGAGTTGATGAACTTTCAAAAGGCTTCCCAATCAGAGACCTTAACCCGATCTGCATCATGTATTTGGTCAATATCAGAGTTGTGGAAATTCAACAGAAATACTCAGAAATCCTTTGTGGTTTGTGATTTGATTAAACCCCAGATTTGATGACTTTTCATTTCAGCAAAGCTATGAAATTGCAAAATCAAAAAACCTAAAGGGGTCAAAAGAGTGTCTCAGTGATTCTACTTTCCTCACTGAAAGACAAAATAAATAAACTTTATAACCCTGCATCAGATTTATGAATGTATGAATTCCCCTGTGTATCTAATATGAGATATTTCCAGTGACTGCACATTGGATGGGAGACATTTCATTCATGAACACATCCGGGCTTACCTTCTTGCGGTCGTGCATGTTGTTGACATTATCCGATATTGCCGCAGAGGCCGAAGCGATTCCACCAGCTGTTGCCACGCCAACACCAACAGCGGTTACTATGAGAGAGGCCCCGAAAGTAAAGGGGGCCAGTGCCAAACCGGCAATGGCCGTTACACCCCCGACAGCTGTGGTGGTGCCCCCGGTGATGCCAGCGATCTTCGCCTTGTGATGGAAGGTGCTGATGTTGTCCGCGATGGCGTGGAGCGTAATGATGGACTGCCACAGGACCTCGGCTCGCTCGGTGAAGACCTTGTTGTAGACGCGGATGCCGCAGTTGACTTTGTCTGCCAAGATGCTGAATGACCTGAGAATCATTTGGGAAGGGAAAGCTTTTTAAATCAATCAATCAAGAAAAATATCTGATATTTACAAAAATCACAAAATATTCCATCAACTCTACAACACAAAGATTACCGTAATATTCAATTTCTTTATGTGACTGTGCTTCAGTTATGATCTTAAGGTGAGATGGTAGCGTATCATTACATAGCTGAATAAAATCAAAAGGATTTTCAATGATGCAGTTAACCGACACAAAGCTCCCTTCTGTCTCTGTGTTGGACACTAGGGCTGTGCTCAAAAAATCCATATGGCAATATGTCATCATGAGCTCCTTGCAAATACATGTATCGATTCAGATGTTACAGAATCGATTTGGCTGCAAAGCTGTGATGACAGTTTTGAAAGATAATTGATCTATGGTGCAGTTCACAATAACATCATATTTATAGCTCTGGGATTACATTTTTTTAATGTCTTTCTAGGATCTCTGAGGGTCTGAATTGAAGTGTTTTAAGTTGTATGATCCTTAAATAACAAGTGTTAATCTCGTCAACGATATAAATGACGAAAACATTCGTTGACGAAGGTCTTTTTAAATTAGTCAACTATGACGATGACGAGACGAAACTCTGCTATTTGACGATTTGATAAATAATATTACTTCATCGTCTAACTGACGAAAATGTGACGAAACGAAAACTACATTACAAGTGACGATTATCACGTACCCCCTCAGCTCTTCTAAAAATTACTGTAAACCACAGCAGACTTCATCAAAGGTGTGTGTGAGTGCAACAATGTGCAGCCTGGAACCTGCAGGTCTGTGAAGCCCCGCCCCCCTGGAGCTTCTGATCATCAAAATAAAAGCTTGCGTCTGATTTTGTTGATTAAAATAACTTCTATTTTATTTAACTAAAATGATGTGCAATTTTAGTAAGTGAGTAATTGACTAAATTAAATCAATAAGAAATGACTAATATCTGACTAAATATAAAGGACATGTTCGTCAGGAGACTATGAGTATGACTAAATTAGAAAATGGTGTGAAGATTAACACTGTAAATAACAGCATATAGTTTGTCCGATCCACTAAAACACTTAGCGGTAGCTCTTTCAGCTCTACGCATTGAACCATTCATTTTGTTTCAGCACCATTATTACTGGTGAAATAAATCCTCTATCATACTTTTTTAACCATCAGCTCGGTTAAGTAAGTACACTTTTAGTTCTGTCAAATTCAAATGAAGAGAAATACCTGGCTTCATCCTCCTGTAGGACTTTGTCCTCATCATCTGACGGCACCTCATCCCATTCTGAAACAACAGCCAGGTAACAGGTGTTAAATAAACGTAGAACATGGGATTTATTTGTTCATTTCTTTGCTCTGGTTTGAGACTCACTTTCCACAGTGTTCCACCACTCCATCAAACTGTCAGTGTCCTGTGACAAAACAGATCAGAAGACACACATGAGCACTAAACTACCAGGTTTAGAAAGATACAGAAGTGGATGGAAAAAATGCTTGTGTTTGGGGCGCAGATGGACTAGCGTTTAGGTCGGGTCCCATGTATGGAGAAGAGGGTAACCCGGGTCAAGACCGGTCTGTAGCTTCTTTCCCGCATGTCACCCACCACCTTTCTCTCCCTGGTTTCCTACTCTACCCACTCTCCTATCCAATACAAGTCAAAAATCCCCCAAAAAAATCTTTAAAAAGAAAAAAGTGTTTGTATTTTAAGTCCCAGTTTTAAAACAAACTGACCCCTTCCTCGTCGTCGTCCTCCAGACCTTCTGCAGCTCGCTCATCCATCTGAGCGGCTAACCACTCCGCCTGAAACAGAGGGGACAGTAACAACACGATAAATATGTCAATAGCTCGTTGCTGCACACTTCAAAGATTAAAAGATGAGTCATCAACAACCGGGCTTAATTTAGCCAAGACCTTTGTATATATAAAGATTTTTTTTTTTAAACAAGTTGATGCTTATGCTAGCATGTTTGCAATGTTGCTGAACTGGCTCAGTCACACGCTGAAGGAATGTGTCAGGAACAAAGAAGTGGAAAACAACAAGGTTTTAAAAATAACTTCTCAGTGGGAAGATGAAGTCAACAGAGTACATCGTGTATGAATGATGATGCTAGTTGTTTTGTAAACGACAATTGAACATTCGCCCATTGGCTTTAACACCAAGGCTATGCTGATGCTAATGTACAATCGAAATAACAGATGCTTCAAAGTAAGCTCAACATTATCTAAATAAATAAAGATATTACTGCTGAACAGGCACAATAAAAACACAAGATGCATTTTTACTCTAAATCTGATCCATGTTGTGTTGTTCCCATTAGGCTCGTCAGGTCTGACTCACCGGAACATTTCAGACCAAAAAAGTTTCTCTCATCAACGTCAGCAGTCATGTTGACCAATTTAAAACAATGCGTTGCTTCATTGTGAGTTCCAGTTGCACAATAAGTTTATGTAAACAAATTAAAGGTGGAGTCAGATAATACGTGGAATCTAGGTCACTTTTTAAGAGTTGTTTATTCTTTGAGGCCAATCACGACAAAACCCAAGCACAACATGTTTCTGAGCTTTTAACCCCTTGTGAACCAATACGCAGTCTGAGATCCTCTGGCAGGGCCCTACTGGCTGTTCCAAAGTCCAGGCTTAAAACTAAAGGGGGACATGGCCTTTGCTGTTAGAGCCCCCAGACTTTGGAACAGCCTGCCAGAGATCAGACTTGCAGATTCCCCTTGTTCTTACATTTATAAAGACGCTTTTACTTTGTGATTTCGCTAATTGTTCTTATTTTTATTTTATTAGTCTGATTTTGTTGTCTGCTTGTTTAGGCTCTGCCTGTTGCTTTAATTGTCTCTCTGCTTTTATTTTCTGTTGTAAAGCACTTTGTTACTTGTATAGAAATAAAGTATTATTATTATTATTATTATTATTATTATTATTATGTTTAATGCAAGGTTTTAGCCAATTAAGCCTCACAGTGACTCTTTTTTTAAAACAGTGCAAACTCACCTCGGCGGCCTCTGACATGAAGCCTCCAGATGTAGCTCCTGTTGGATCATCCGACTCTGAATCCATTGCTTTGTTCTGTCAAGACGAAGAAATCGAAAAAAGGAAAGTGAAAGCGTTGACTTTTTTTTTTGTAAAGACGTGGTGGCAAGAAAAGCTAAAATCTTTCTTTCTTCGTGGGATTAGCGATGAGTTTGAGAACATGGTTTTTCACCTTGGCCTTGGATTTCTTGAGAAGTTTCAGTTTGGACGACTTCTTCTGTGAACGAGAACAATGGATGGATGAGAAACCCTCAAAGTAAAGCAGCAAAATGTGAGAAGATGAGTGACAGTGATACCGGTTTGCAGACGTCCGCTTCATCCAGGTCGCTGCCGTACATCTCTTCTGGACTCATGAATTCTTTTCCTGTTTGATCAAAATCCTCAGCAAAGACATCCTGCAAGATATAAACTGGATATTAGTAATTCATCAAACCAACAGAAACAGATTTAAAAGAATGAAGTGAGCTTACACATGCTGCTTGTTGAGGCATGTGGTGGCTGAATCCAATGGGTTCACTCTGGCCGTTGCTCGTCTTCGGCTTGCGAGGTGGGGGATCCGGGGCTTTGTGTTTGGACTTTTTCTGACAGAGAATGAAAAAAGAAAAGACATCTAGTTGGATTCTCAGTATCATTAAAACAGTCCGGTGTTGAGCATTTTGCTCTTCCATTAAAGGCTTACTATGCGATTTTTTGATCCAGCATGAAACCAAAACAACTTGCGCTGCATCGTTGTCTTAGCATGCTAATGCTAGCGATCTTTATTCTGCTGGTATCTTCACACTGCATGTAAATTTACCTGAAATGAGCGTGATCTAGAAACACAGTTAAGCAGTGAGTACAGTATGTTATTCTTCTTTTCTCTAGTCCCTCAATTAAACAACTTTTATACACGAGGGGAGGAGTCAGCCGGCTGTCCGGGCGATGTAAACAAACTGAAGATAGGACTCTGAAAACTCTGAAAACATCACAGACAGTGGGACTTGGGTGTTACACCCATTGTAGACAGTCATGACTCACAGAGTTATTTTCAGAGGATATACTTGATTTCTACATTTAAGTGTGAAAAATCACATTTAAAGACTTTAAGGGAGCGTGAAATGAGACCTTTCACAAAAGCACCTATGATAACTTTGTTTTGTTGCTAATCTTCTCCATCAGAATGATCTGTGCTTTCTTTGGTCTTTGTGTTGAGTCACAGGGTGACACTTCCCTTATACACACAGCAGCTGCTTCTGTAAGCTTGTTACTGATTGTTAAAAAAATACTTTCATCACATACCGGTTTATCCATCCCCTTTAGATCTTCATCGTCTAACTCTTCTGCGGAGAAGCTGCTCTTCTTCTTCTGAAGATAAGGGTCGTCCAGCATGTCCTCCTTGTTAAAGAAAACATTTCATTTTCTTTAATTCACATTTATTTGAAGCCTTGATTGGCCAGAGTCGTTTATTTTGGTCTCTCACATCCGATCATTTCATTAAAAAAAAAAAAAAAAAGAAGTAATTTACTTTGGAGCTTCGACGACCCACGTGCAGCATTTTCATCTTTGTCGGTTTCTTCTGTTGATGAAGGCAAAATAAACAACATTACGTGATGACAGACCACATAGCCGTCAATAAAACAAACAAAAAAAATGATTACAACAGAAACGTACAGGTTTAACATCTTCCATTCCGTATGGGTCTACATCTCCGTTCAATCCAGCAGACATGTGGAGCGCCCTCTGGAAGTCTTCATCGTCCATTAAATCAGCCTGGGAAACAAATTCAAATACTCTCAGTGAAAATCATGACTCCTGGTTTAGAAACATCTAAAGTATGGAAAAATATGTACTCATAGGTTTTAGTCATGTCAGAACACATCATGCAAACATAACACACATTTATGTATCAATCCAATAACAGTACCTTGCTAGTTGACTGAAGACTCTGGCGTTTCAGCTCCTCTTCATATTCAAAAGCATCATCCTAAAATACATGAGGAGTAAAATCACACCTTAGATGTGGAAAACCAAGAAATGGTGAATGAAAAGCAGTTTGCATCTCTCCAGCTTCCAGAACAACTTCCATCATTTGGTCCACACCGGGACTTCAACTGACAACTCTCTGGTTCCCGACCCAAGTCCCTACAGACTGAGCTACTGCTGCCTCCTAAACAAGATGATGAGCGCGTGTTTGCTGACTTTTTCTGGGCACATCAAGTCATCCACATGAAACAGATATTTCCCAGAGAACATTCAGATAATTCTCCCTTCTTTTTTTTTTTTTATTTACTTTTTTACTTTTCAGTTACACTTGTCCATTTTCTCATGAAATCCTAACATGCCATTTTACCAAACAACTACACGTCCATATCCAAACATGTATACACACACCCATTCCTTCATACCTACATTACCTTGATTGACTAACAACTTCTGCAAACATATTGGTAATTTGCTATACAATAGAAAAGTGCCTTTAAAGTTAAATAAATAAATAAATACAATTAAAAATAAAAATAGTAAGAGGTGACTAGAGCTTTTCAATGAGTCATTGTCATACGAGGTGAAGTTAAGGGAACTGAACTGAAGGAGAGCCTTACCTGGGACGTTTTTCGGGGTGTGTAGCCACACGCGCCCAAAACCTCATCCTGAGATTTATCCTGAAGATAAATGTTGAACTGTTCAATATGAACCAAGCCTGCACAGACTGTTCAAACACCAACATACTCCAAAAGTACAGAGTCCTACCTTTGAGCTCTTACGAGGTGTGTATCCGTGTGCTCCCTTTAGTCCGTCATTCTGGAGAAAGTGTCAACATGAAAAACGTCATTAAACAAGTAAACAAGAATCCATGACAGCAGATGGTAAAGAGTTAAAGCCTGATACCTTTTCTAAAGTGATCGTGTATCCCCTTTGTGGAACAAACTTGATCTTCATCTTCTTTGTTTTCTTCTGCAGAGAGAGAGAGAGATTTTTCAAACTTCTTTTAATCGCTCAAAGCATTTAAAAAAAAAAAAACAACCAACACTTAAATTCAACACTCATCTAGTTTCAGACGAGAGAGAGAAAAAGAGAGAGAGAGAGAAAGAGAGAAAGAGAGAGAGAGAGAGAGACAGAGACGGAGAGAGAGAAAAAGTTCTGCTTGTGTCCATTAAACATTCCAGCATCATTACTATCTATCATTATTCAAAGTATTACAACCTCTCCATGATGGGCTTCTCCTCCATCCTCCTCACCAGTGCTGCCATCCAAAGCAGTCCCCTGTTGACAACGACACACTGAATCAAAAAAACAGTCTATGAACCGTTTAGTACCACTCAAATCGATCTTTGAGTACTTGAATGAGAAATACTGTGGGAAAGAAAAAATGATGAAAATAGGACAGAAAATAATGCATCATGAGTTCTTATTCCTGTGCAATTTTCTACAGTAAAGAAAGTTTTTGCAGCTTGAAATGCTGTTTGAAAAAGTAAAGCTTTTTGAAAAACTCCTCATCCTGTTGCACCCGGTCTGCAGGAGGTTAAGGACTTATAGTAAGGGAAAATATTAGTAAGGGTCGGGAAGCTGCTGGTACATTACCTCTGACCATCGGCGTATTATAGAGTTTTTCTTGCCGACACTTTTCTTCTCACCATCCTGTTGTAGAATGAGATAAATAAAGTCATCAAAATGACAACATTGTTCTTAGATGCACTGTAGGATGGCTGGTTAACAACAGATTCAAGGGCAGATTCAGAGTAAAAAACAAAAAAATTGCTTCAGACAATCTCACCTTGGTTTCTTGATGTAAATGTCCATTTAGCACAGAGGAGTTAGTGGATGCTCGTCTAAGCAGCTGACTGACTTTGGTCTTCAGTGGTTTCTTCTGTTTTAAAAAAAGAAGCTTATTAAACAACACTGGTTTTAGAGTCGCTGTTCATTAACAGAATATATATTTTTAAAAGCTGACATACTCTGTAGTCCGTCTCGTTCTGTTCCCCATCTTCATTTTCTCCAGGTGACAAGTTCCATTCTGAATAATAATCCTGACAAACAAAAAGGACTCACATTTAATACTGTTCTCTTACAGCTTTAATCACAGACACACGCTCGTAGATTTGATATTTATCGCCTTACCTTTGAAGGTCGACGTGATGTGGGTAGTGTCCTGCTCTTCCCTTCTTTTGTATCATCAGAAAACTTCTCCTACAAAAGAGAATCAGGACAGCTCATGAAGACAAACACCTGAACACAATCAAGGCAGCACCGATGGACTTTCTTTTTGCTTCGTTTACCTTCGACCCTCTTCTGGAGAGGAGTGACATTCTGAGTTTTGGTTCCTTTTTCTGTAAGAAAGAAAACGTGTTTTCAAGTACAGACTGAAAACATACCGAAATAATCACAAACTCTGCCGGGTTTTGAAGGTCATGCTCGGTCTGCTTCCATCCTACCCACAGAGCTACATGCTTCCAAAAGTAATGGAAGTTACCATCTTCGCTCACAGGACTTACTCCTTCTAATAAAGCCCGTACTGAATTAGGAAAAAGGGGCGTTCAAGTATGCTGCTCCCTCTTCTTGGAATCAGTTGCAAGATACTTGAAATCTTCGGGAGCTGGTTTCCTTGAATGTCTTTAAAGGTCGTCTTAATGATCTGGAGGCAGAAACATCTGACTGTAGATGTTTGAGCTAACTCGTATTGCCCTTTTTGATCGCTTTGTTGCTGATGACTTAAGACAGATTCTGATGATTTGAAACCCTGTAATTGTGCTGCTGCCTGTCTTGGCCAGGACGCTCTTGTAAAAGAGATTTTTTTAATCTCAATGACACTTTTTCCTGGTTAAATAAAAATGTGGTACCTTGACCTGACTGCCGAGGCCGTCTTGATCTTCCCCACTTCCGCCATCAGAGTTCCCCTTCATCTAAGAAAGAGGTTAGCCTTTATTAGCATCGTCTTTGTGCTTCATAACAAACAAAGCTAAATATATATATTTTTAAAAACAGGGGTCTTAACCTTGTAGGACTCTCGTCGTAGTCTCAATGTTCCCGACTGAATGAAAAAAGAACAGAAAATTAGACTTCGGAAAGAATGTGGGTTTTGAAGAGAACATTGCTGTTTGACATGATGACAACATATTTAAGGACAAATGTGGTTAGGAGAATGAGGTTAAATAGGAAAAGGTTTGTTTTACTGGTTTGAAGTTGGGGCTGAGCTCTGGGCTGTCTTCGGGCCAGTCTTCAACACACCTTTCCTATTTCAGTAAAAGCAAACATTTGTATAGACAGTTTTAAGCCAACATATTTCATTAATTTAGAGAGGTAATGCTCCCCCTGAGAATGACTCAGCTCCATATTTGGAATCTCTTTCTGGTCAATCTGCATCCACCTTTTCTCAAAATCCAGTCTGCAGAATGCCATCACACTGGTTTGTGATTCACACTCTTACATGACCTCATTGCCTTTTTTTTCCCATATCATTATTGTAAAGCTATACCTCACATTTTGTAGCACTACCAATACTTCTGTTTTCAACCATCCACCCTGTTTGTCACTACCATAGCCTTAGGGCTTCAAATCTATAATGATGTTTCTGTATTGTCTTGTAAATTGCTTAATAACTGTGACACATCCATTTTCACATTTTGAAAAACCCACCTGTCCAGTTAGCAGGACGTCTTCGTAGACAACATAGTTTTCAGGGTCTGTTGGTTTACTTTCCTGTAAAAAAAAAAAAAAAAAAAAAGAAATATAAGAAATAAGAAAGATATAAATATAAAAAATTGAAATATAAAAACATTTTCTATCTTAAACATAAACATCCCAAACATACTCTGGAATTTCCATGACCTGGATGACTAAAAAACCTACACAGACTTCCCAAGCATAGCACATACTGTATGTAGCCTGTGGTAATTAGAATGAGGTCAGAGTTCATCAGAATGCCTACCGGTGTTTTGGGTCTGCGTGGAATGACCGGTTTTGGGAGCCCTTTGAAGGACAGTTTTGGTGATGTTTTTGGCACAGGTGGATCCGGTTTAGTCTAAACACACAATCCAAATGAATAAAGTGAATTACTGCATTTACTGTAGCAAGGGAATGAGTGAGTAAAACAAGCCGACAGTATCTGGCTAAACTCTGTTCTGAGCATACCAGGTTGGCTGGTAAGGGTGGTCTTTCTGGTTTCGGTGGCTTTTCTGGCATGGGTGGCTTTTCTGGCCCGAGTGGCTTTTCAGTCTTCTGTAGTTTACTTCGAGGAAGCGGCTTTGGTGGACGCTTGAAGGTTCGAACCTGGATTTGTTATTAAAAAAAATGTGCATGACATGTAAATCAGAATATGTCTTAGACAACAATGTGCATTTGGCTTTTAAATATTCGTTCAAATATCAAAAAGTACGAGTGACATACATGGTTCATCTGAGTTTGGGATTGGCTGGGTGTCATGGACAGATTCCTGGCCCGACTGAAGGGAGATGGCTGAAGGATGTCATGTTTAGTACCCCCGGGAGTCGTCAAGACAATGTCCTGTAGCCTGTCGGAAGACAAGGCCTGGGTGGATTCTAATGGCGCTGCTTTGAAGAGATCTGGTGACGATATATCCGCCTCTGTTTCTGGCCAACCAACGTTTCCGTTAGTCTTTGATGGAAGTGGTTGGAAGATGTCCGGAGTGCCAATAGAAACATCTTGGAAAGGGTCAAATTGTTTTGAGGGAGTAGAACCAAAGGGGTCATCCGGACTGGAAGCGGCTTGGAATAAAGTCCTTGTAATTGGGCTCGGGAATGGGTCGACCGCAGATGTGGATGCTGGTGAAAATATATCGCCGATTTCCTTGGAAGACCTTTTAAAATCATGCTCTTTGTCCACTTCATTGGTTGTGGCTGTGTGAAAAGGGTTTGCCACCATAGGCTGAGGAGACTCAGACAGATTCAAAGGAGATCTAAACGGGTCGTCAAAGACACTATTGTCTCCAGCACGGGACTGTAAGGGTTTGGAGAGGTTTGGGGTTTCAGTAGACGTCGACTTCAATAAGCCTGGCGAGCTCAGGGTTACATCATAAAAATGGCCATTGGTAGGCGTGTGTTGGGCAGATGTTGACGTCTGGAAGAGCCCTTTTACTTGGCTTGGGGTAATGGCATCTGGAGGTTCTGAAAAATGAGCTCCATTTCCCCCAGTTTTCATTCCAGTTGGAAGATCCAGAGGTGTACTCTGGAATTCAGGAGGTGGGACAATGATGCCATCAAGGTTGAGTTCCTCTGAAGTTTTTCTCCCCGCATCTTCCTTTAAATGTCCTTTGCTGCCCGATTCCTGATAAAAAATTTAAAAAAAACACAGGTTCATTAGGAACATGTTTTCTGAAAATGAAAGTAATCGTGCTTAAGAATCAAAAAACTTTATACTCACCAAAAAATAGGAATAGAAAGGGTTATTTTTTACCAAACCTCTGTCGACTCCATTCTGAAATTGAAACAAGAAGGAAGATGAAGACTGAGATTATCCTTTTTGGACTTTGAACATTTTAAAAATGATCATGTTTTTACACATGCACAAAACCCAGAACTTTTCAGTGTGAGCTACATTCATGAACTCAAACTGCTGATTCTTTCCCCCTGACTATAACTGGAACTCAACCTGACAGCCCCTAAGTGTTACAGTGTAGGACTCTTTCATCTGGTCTTGCCTCCTGAGACTCCTGAGACCCCTCTGCCCCCCCCGTCCTGTCCGACAGGTAAAACTTCCCACTATGAAGGACACAGGAGAATAAGAAAGTCTGGAAGCTTTCAGGGGTAGACTCGATATTTTCAGGAACACATGTGGGAAAACAGCTTCAGATATGCTGGCACTGATAACAGACTCGAGGACCTACATGTAAGTGGACTCAGGTGTTACACCCATTGTAGACAGTCATTACTCAGAGTTATTTTCAGAGGATATACTTGATTTCTATCACATTTAAGTGTGAAAAATCACACATAAAGGCTTTAAAATTTTCCCCCCTGGAGACAAAATGCATCTCCAAAAACTGTCTAATTTTTAAAAAAAACTATTGACCTACAAATAGTATAAGTGCATCTTAGAGATCAAAGATTTTTTTAGAAAAACTCTAAGCTAATCTCTTGTAAAAAGTTAGCAGCTATAAGTGGTAGATGAAGGCTCTTGATTCATTACTGCAAAAATATATTTAGACTGCCAAAGATAAACACGCCTACACTATGAAGAGATCTCATGCTAACAACCACATTGTATGTCCAAGTACAAAACCAGAGAAAGGGAGTGGATCGTACCTGTGCTGCAGCAGGAGAAATATTTGTATCCTCTGCCTTCAAACCGTCCTGAGGAGAAACGTTTATGATGTTTAAAACACGAAGAGACCTCTGTCCCATTATGTTACTGGTATGTAACACTCATTCAACAACACTGACACATTCATGTTTTTAAAAAACACTCGAGGCATTTCAGATAAATCACAGAAGACATTTCTCTGGATTGCACTGCATGACATTTTGTGTATCCTCTGTCCATGTTGAATATCACCCGTCCAAAGTGCAGCTTGTGGTTGTCTGTGACGTTACAGATGAACGACAACATAAACAGAAAATCGACAACACTTGCTGTTCATACGATACAACAACAAAGTCTAAACTGGCTGCTGGTTGTCCAACAACCTTGAAGTTGTTGTTTTTTTTGGCTCTTGCCTTTGTGAAGACAATAACTGGGAGTGTCCATACAATGCACTTGGTGTACCACAGGTGAAGTGTGACTTGACGAGGCACTCAGCCTGCTCTTCTCTCTGTGCGTGGTTACTAACCTGTTTGTTGACAGACTCGTTCACAGGCAATCCACTGGATTCAGAGTTTGACGAAACAAGAGTCTGAGTATAAAAAGAAACAAATCATAGGGAATCAGTTTTGTCTTCCAATTTTGCATTCCCAGTGGAAATTGGTAATTAAGTAATAAAAGCAGAAGGAACGTTACTCACCGTGTATTGGTTTTGAAAAGGGCTCTGGGAAACCTTCTTTAGCATGTGCTGTAGCGTCACAAGACTCTGAAGAAAAGACCCAAAAACATCAACTGTGCACTTTTTTTTAAGTTTAAGTTTACCAAGCTGAAAGTTTGTTTGGTTACAGATTCCTCTTAAACAATGGAGTGTGTGTGCTCTGCGGTAAACTAGTTTAACTACTTCTTTGCTCGCTAAATTTCCCATTCAAGCCAAAAAAACAATCACTGACCAGAAAACATGTCGAACAGAAATCTAACTTTTCAAGCTTTTATTTCCAATTAAGAACTTTGATTAATACCACAAGATTCATATGCCATTATTACGGTGGCTGGGAAGTGCAAAACAAAATGGCAATGTGTGAAACACTTTCACAAGCGCTTTAAAACTTACATTTTGAAAATCATTTTCACAAACGACAGAAGCTTGACAGAAAGAGAACGTACCAGAATGCAGGAAATGACCCCAGAAGTGCATATCTGGAATACACTCCCTTTCCGTCAAGATTCTGTTGTTTGTAAATTTGTTTGGGGGACAGATAAAAGGGTTTCACTGCTTGGAAATTTTATTTATAAAATGTGCATTAGTTTTGTCCTCTGTAAAAGTGTTTTGGTTTTGTAACTTTGTTTCAGAAAAATATTTTCAAAATGTAAATTTGTCTCACATTTTGTAAAAGTGTTTCACACTTTGATTTTGTTTTTGCACTTCCCAGCCACCGTAGATCAGGAAACAGGAAATCATCAAAAACTGAATTAAAAATACACACAGATGAAGACGCGCTTTGATTCCACTTCTCAAGCACTCTTACATAATGATGTAACAGCTTAATTAGGCATTAACTAGTTAATTGCTGTCTAATGCTGCAGTCTGAACTACTTCGTCTTTGATCATTCCCAGGTTCAACATCACCTTTCCAGAAGTCATATATATATTTGAGATATTGGTTATATTTCGTTAACTCTTTAACTCCCTCTGTTTGTATTTAAAGACTCTTGCTCTAGGCTTGATGGAAACACTAATCTGATCACTGGAAAGAAGTTGTTCCATTTCTGTTCTGATGCTTTGCCAAGTGCAGATTCCTTCTGCTCTGTACACTTTAACAAACAGAGCCATCAGTCACAGAGATGACAGTGCAAAAAAAACAACTTTCAAAACAGGTGACACCGTGATCCTCAGGGCTTGGCTACACGGTCTGTTTTCCTCCAGATAATACACTTGATTTTATCTACAAAAAAAAAAAAAACACACACATCTGATCTACAATAAAAGTTGGATTCAAGAAAGTTTGATGACTTTTAAAGATTTTGATTTTTAAATGTGAATTTTCCTACTGCAGAAAATTACATCCATGCACTATTTCATTACAACATTTACATTTTATGTTCCCTTAAATGTTTTTAAACTGTAACTGTCAACTAACAATGCAGCAGAGTGCAGCGACATATTAGTCCCACATGTTGTGAACTGATGAAGTTGTTTACTTGCTGCTTGAGGATAAAATGAGAAACATGGAAGATGCATGTTGCTGTTTGTGTCGTTTACTGGCATGTCTCTCAATCAAACCTCCAAAATCAAAGCACCATCACACACAACAACAACTCTGTCCAAGAGAGAAGTATTCATGTAAAGAAACAAAGTTACTTACAGAGCGTCTTTCACCGGATCCAGAGTCCAGACCTGCTACATCTTCTCCATTCTCGTCCGACCCCGCCTCGTTCTCCTAATTAGAAATAATTTAATATTAAAATCACAGATTTACAGGTGTAAGCTTATCATTAAATCAACTCATGGAAATGTTTGACGACTTTTAAATCGATGCTTCACTAAAAAAAAACGAGTGAACAGCTCGACTCTTACCTCAGTTGTATCTTCTCTCATGGCGACAACAATTGGTTTAAAAATGATTCAAAGCAGGATTTCTTTTTTCCACCCCTCGGTTGAGTCTGTGATAACGTTTCTTTGGCATCGAAGCGTCTCACTGCGTCTGTGTGCGAATGACAGCGCTAACGGAGGTGATTATCTCCAAGTTTGATGCACCTGTGTGGAATCAGCGCGTCCGCTTTAAGACATTTCAAAATAAAAGTCTGGAACGTCCAGGCTGCATCCACCTTGATTGTAAAAAAAAATAGATGTTTTTTTGTTGTTTTTTTTAAATCAATGAAATCTAGCAGGATTGCTAGAAAGATTAGTGCTGACTTGTCGAAATTCTTGTTGTTTTGATTTCTGGCCCTGTTTGTCCTTGCTCCGGATTGTTGTCTGCTTACATTTGCCTGATGTACACTTTTGGAAAGTTTGCTGGAAAAGCAACGAAATCCCCAGTAGGTCTCATATAGGCTTTAAAAATTCACTTTTTTTTTGTCCTTTTTTTTTTTACAGCATAAATGAACATGTTTCCTCTATACTAATACTTCTTGCACAATTATTTTGAAGTTAGATTCACTTTTCCTGACTGCTCTAACTTGATAGGAGGATGTTATCTTCCCCACATCTCAATGCGAACAGACCGGTTGTGATCGCCCAGCCCAACAGGGGGGTGTGGTGCTGGTGTGTTGATGAGCTGAAGCTCTGTGTTGATGGATGAGGAAACTCCTGCAGGAAGTGAACAAATACTTTTAGATTTGAAATTAATAGCAGAGAGCAAATTCAGACATGAGATTAACACCGATCAATTCAAGCATTGCATGTTTTCAGATTACATAATTTACATTTTTAGCAATACTACAGGTTTGTTGGGCAGTGGGCCCACCAGAGAATAAACCTTCACAGAGGCAAATACAAACACATCTGGAATGACCTACACAAACCACGACAATGGACATCATGTTCCTCACACATTCACACCGCCTTGGATTTGTTGAAAATAAGACGTGCTCATTAAGCAAGAAAATCAATTAGGCAAACATTTAGGCCCCCTTAAATTAAAAGGCCTTCACTGAAATTCAAAATGTGTCAGCTTAAACACTTTAGACTTTAATTCAGAAAATAATTTGCTATTATTGCTATTTGCTTGGTGAATGTGCCATGTATAATCCTAAATTAGTAAATAAGTAAAATAAAAAGGTAATACATATAAAATAATAACAGTATCATCAGCAGAGTCTGGGGATGTGGTTAGTGCTGATGCCGCACAGCAAGGAGGTTCCTGGTTCAACTCCCCCCACTGTGTGGAGTTTGCATGTTCTCCCTGTGCATGCTTGGGTTCCCTTGGGTTACTCCGGCTTCTCGTTAGGTCAAATGGTGACTCTAAATTTCCCGTAGGTGTGAACGTAAATGTCCGATGACAGCTGGGCCCCCGTGTAGATAATGGATGGCTCTTCAGGGTTGATTCATAAGATAAAAATGTAATTATTGTTCAGAAGCACTTGGCAATTATTGATGTAGACAAAAGTTTGGAGTAAATATTTCTGGAACAATAAAGTCAAAATGTTTTAGTTTCTGGAACATCTTTGTGAAAGCAGAGGTGTGGTCTTTTGGCAGATGTGGATTACTTGCAGATTATTTTAAATATGCACAAAACACACTCATGTCGAGCACAGATGGACCGTCGGTGAGAGAAGCAGCAGTGATTTTTTTTTTGCTCCTTGAAAGTGAAAGTGAATGCAGAAAAACTTGGCTTTATAGTTTATTTCAACAGGTTTAGGCCTATTTCTAATGCACATGACATAATTTGCATATTTAAAGTAACAGTACCATGAAGACAGTCTTCACATTTTCTCACGGCCGTCCAGTAACATTTAGAGGTGCAGTTGCAACATTTGTCCAGTAGATGTCATAATGTCTTTACAGCCTGTGAATGGGGATTTTTGGTGAATTTTGGTAGTCATGTTAAAATACATTTTAATACACCTCCAGGGTGGAAGGCTGATTTCTAAAATCAAATACATGAATAAGGGACTGTTCAAATGAGGAAGTGCATTACAACAAAGAGTTTGGTCCTGTCATTTATGTCATATATTGGGCAATAGCCTACGAAAAGGAAGGTTTGCCTTAAATCTATTTTTCATTTGAATTGAAGAAATCCAATAATATGACACGTCTAGGAGTCAAAGGACAGTCACTGAGAAACGCCATGCTTTTACCAGGAAGTCATGTGATTGTCAGGATAGGAGGAAAAAAAACCCTCCCTGGTACAAAACAAAAGATGTAACGCATGGTATGACTTCTTTAAGAAAGCAGAAAGTAAAAGAGAAAGCTTGTAACTTACGCCCTTATGACTCATTCATAAACATTTATTGAACTAGACTTATTCAGATTCCCCACTCTACCTTTGGACTATCTTCTAGGAGAAACACTGTATCTACAAACACAAGTTGCCATCTGCTCAATCTAATTATCCTAATTACTGTGTGTAATCAGTGTTGTGGTAATTAAGTGATTTTTTAAATATGTCTACTAGTAATTTGTTTAAAGTAGTGTTGTAGTCAAGACCACATTAACTGAGACCAAGACAAACCCGAGACCAGGGTGCTCCGAGACCGAGACAAGACCAAGACATTTAAGGGTCCAGACCAAGTCAAGACCAAGACCATAAATATTAATGTAAAATCATAATCTTGTGTAGGGGGTGTCACTCAGGCCGTAACACCGGGAAAGGTTGCAGCTGTAACCAGGAGATAAAATTAAACTACAAATTAATTGAAGGTATTCGTTGTTTTCCTTCTAATCACAGTAAGGACGTGGAAAAATGGCCTTTCAATGGTGGTCTTGACTGGACTTTATCTAAAGCTGGAGTCCGCCCAGTCCCAGACCGAGACAGGACTGAGAGAAAATCCTTGTGATTCAGAGTGTGTATTCATTGTTATACCCAATGGAGCGTATTTTATAAAACACATTTTTTTATCAACTTTCTGCCACAGCTGTGTTTAAAAAAGGGTTCATTTGAAGAGGTAAATTGAACGAGGAATGATGTTTTATTAAAATTGCCATCTGCAACCATCAATTGTACAAAGTGTTGTCTTTGTGAGTTCTGATTTAAAGATGCATATCAATCCAAGCTAGTGTTATAATAATTATATTTATTATTACAATAACTAACTCCGTATACGAGAAGTCACATGTATAAATCTAAAACACAGCAGGAATTTCCCTCGGGCAATTATGTGGGCAAGTATGTGGGCAAGTATGTGGGCAAGTATGTGGGCAAGTATGTGGGCAAGCTGTCGAAACAGAAACAAAACCAAAGGCACATAAAAGAAAGAATCCCGTTTTCGTGAAGCATATCGTCTCAGGTTTCTTTGAAACACTCAGCACTCCGTATCTTTTTCATCTTGTTAACAGGTGAGTTTCAAACTTCCATAACATCTATGGATTGTTTATTTCATGTATATTTGTATCGAGACTGTGTTGCACTTTGGTGAAATTTGCTGGATTTATACAAACAAAAAGAGCTAGATATAAAGTATGAATGAAAACTTTTGTGTTTCCCTTACCTTTGGGTCAAAGATACAGAGTCCCCCGTGGAAAGGAAAACTTTTTTAAATATTGTTTTCCCAGCTTTTATTGAATATTTCAATCAGTAAGGCAAGTTTAAAGTCAGCCCACTACTTCATTATGCCTCAAAGCTCTTTATGTTATTATTATTTATGTATTAATTAATTCACACCCTTCAGTATGTACTTTGAAAATCTGCTGCTTTGCTTTGCCATGTAGCTCTACTGGGTCTGTTTTTTTATTCTTTTCTATTCTAATTAAATGTAATTTTTAATTTGCGACCTTGTTTGAATGTATTATCTTGTGTTTTAAATGGCACACTTAAATCAAAGACAAATTTCCGCCTTTATATGTAAAGTTTGACATTAAAGAAGACATATTATCCCCCTTCTCTACCTTTTCAAACAGACCCTGTGGTCTAAATGAAACATCTGTGCTGTGCTTTGGTCAAAATATAACATGAATCAAGCACCAGAGGAGGTTTGTGACCCTGTATAAACCAGCTCTCTCAGAACGCACTGTTTTGTTGGTGTGTGTGTCTCTTTAAATGCAATGATCCCCCCCCCGAGTTTTCCCAGTAGACATCACTCCTCTGTAGCGAGATTAAAAATGGCAGACCTGCGCAAAATTTTCCTCTCGTCTGGGGGTGGAGTCCATGGATGGAGATACCAGGGAATCCCACTGAATCCCACTGTGATTCACAGGGAGAGCACATTTGAAATGGAGCATTTTTCTCTATGTTGTAAGACTTATGCAGACCACAAACAAAGGACTGAATGGGTTTATTTCAAATTTTGTGGTCGTAGACACTCAGGTTACCCAAATATATGTTCAAAACAAAAAATAAGAAGTATATTTTTCACAATATGTCCCCTTTAAGCATTTATTTTCTATTTTAGTTATACAAATGTGTTTTGCAGACAACAATAAAAATTCTTTTTAGATTTTACTGGAGCAGCTAGTAGGCATTATAGTCAGATTTGGACTGGATTGCAGCTCTCTGTTTGTATAGAATTTGTGTCTGTGTTGAAAGAAACAATCTAAAGTCTTAATTTTTTTTTTATATTTACCAGATTTGACAACTTGTCAACAAAATGGATGAATCTGACACAGATGCTGAAGATTTGGGTGGCATGTTAAGAACTCTACTCACTGGTTTGTTGACCCAAAATAATGATGAGAAGCATCTGTTTAACAAGCTTAGAGGGCTGGTTAAAAACATCGGATGGACACCAACAGATGCTTCTGAGTTGTTCGATGCCCTCTTGAAGCGATTCTCGTCGACAACGAATGACCGCTCTCATCTCCACTCATGGATGATGGAAATGTTGCACTGCATCGAGAGTAACTACATCACTCCCACTTGGCGAAAGGAAAAGACGCTAATTGAACTGGTTCGAGACGAGAATGTAACAGAAGAAGAACTCAAAAAATGTCTCACAAAGGACGAAGAAAAAACACTGAAAGAAATTCTTCAGGAAATCCGCCAGCAAAAGTTGAACCAAATTGACGAAAAGCTTTTATGTGACGTGGAAGACATTGTATCATCAGTTTATCACAATCTTAC